GGTCATGCAGGAATAAATCGAATGTATAACACTATAAAAAGGTATTATTTTTGGAATGGACTTAAAAAGGACATAGAAAAGTTTATAAAAAGTGCGATGACTGTCAAAGGTACAAACACACTAAACCTTTTATTGAACCCTTAACAATAACTACGAGCCTCACAAGCTTTTGAAAAAATGTATCTAGATTTAGTGGGTCCTATTGATCCCGATATTTATAACAATCGGTATATTTTAACCATCCAGTGTGAATTAAGTAAGTTTGTGGAGGCATATCCAATTTCAAATAAAGAGGCAGTAACCGTAGCAAAATCATTTGTCGAAAATTTTGTTCTTTGTGGTACAGAGTTTTTAGCTTCTACTATGACCGAAGTGTGCAAACTATTAAAAATTAAACATTTAAACTCAACCGCGTATCATCATGAAACTTTAGGCTCTTTGGACACACAAGCATTTAGGAGCCTATTTGCGGAAACATATATCAGAACAGTCAGATGCTTGGAGCACTTGGATTTCGAACTGGTGTTTTACAATAATACAGTACATACCAAAACACAATATACATCATTCGAGTGCAACCTACCTTCAAACATAACTAGTAGTGTAGAAGGCGGGTTCCTGACTCAAACTGGATGGCATGTGTTACCATTCAGGATTTTCAGGATGTCTTCAGCCGTTGAAGACAATGCCCAGAAGGTCTTCAGATGGATTTTCAGGATTTTCAGTGCCGAAGAGGTCCTTTTCAGGATGTCTTCGGCTGCTGAAGGTCAATGACCAGAGGGTCCTTTTCCTGAAAGATAAGGACCTTCGAGGTCCTGGTTTATCTCTTAAATCTTAGGTTGGTAGTAAATAAAATTTGGTTGGTACTACTGTCTAACTAGATTTTATCTTTTAAATCTATGTCACGTGATTATGACGATGTGATGACGTAATATGAAAATTAAAAAATATTTTATATTCGCTGGGGATTGAACCGCGGACTTGTCGATTCATGGACGAATACGCTAGCCAAGAGACCACTTGACCAACTTATAATCTTTACCTTGAATGATCTACATACGCTAGCTTTGCCACGTCACACCACACAATATTTTACGCATTTATTAATAATTACAATTATTATTATTAATAATTACTAGTTGTTTGAGTAAAATAAATTAAAATAAATATAAATTATGTATTAATAGTTATTTTAAATTTATATTTTTGCCGAGAGTTGTAAGTAGGTATGTGTGTTAACACATACTATAAAGAGCACGTACGATGTTTGCTTGATAAAATTTTGGCGCGGAGCAAAACGTTTTCGCTGCTGCTGCTGCAATCTAAATCTCGCGTGCTCGCACCTACACTTGGCAAATACTTTTAGAGAAATATTTTTTAAATAAAAAACAAAATAAAATAATTAAATAATAAATTTATTTATAAATTATACATTTACAACATTATTTAATTAAAAATATATTAAAAATTAAAACAATTAATTAAAATACATGATATAAAATTACAATTTCCTTGACAAATACTTTTAGAGAAATATTTTTTAAATAAAAAACAAAATAAAATAATTAAATAATAAATTTATTTATAAATTATACATTTACAACATTATTTAATTAAAAAAATATATTAAAAATTAAAACAATTAATTAAAATACATGATATAAAATTACAATTTCGGCTGTTTTTCATACGTTCCACCCAGAACATGTTTGGTTCCATTAACTTCTTTTAGATGTTTTTGATAGGTACAGGGTAAACACATTTCGTTTTCCAAATCGGTTTCTCCTCGACATTTAGGACATTTGTATTTGACAGGTGTAGGCATCTTAAACGATCAAGGAAAGCCAACTAAACACTAAATTTTGTTAGGCTACATTTTTCTTATCTATCCAACTGTTGTGTTTATCGCTAAAGCCCAACCATTTGACAAATACTTTATTTTTTTGTCTTTTTAATACTTTTTCAACCAGATAAACATCATGATGTTTGACTTTTTGTAATTGTTCTTTGTAGAAACCACCCAATACGTTTTCACCAGTTGTATCTTGAAGCAGATAGGTAGTTGGATTGGTGTACTGTACTTTTTTTATTACAAAAATTTCTGTTGACCAATTGGGCATGTACTGTTTATCGAAGACTCCTCTAACTTTTGAAATGCGTACATGATCACCGACATGAAATTTAGCATCCAAGTCACTCATTTTAATACGATTATAGGCTGTTTTTAAGACTTCATTTTCATTTTTCTCTGTCACATCTATCGGTTTTCTACCAATGGTTCTGTGTTTGGTATTATTGTATTTGGAAACAATTTGCGGTAGCAAGTTAAGCCATTTGTAGTGTCCTTGAATGCTAAACTCTTTCCACATTAAATTTTTCAATGTTCTATTTACTCGTTCAACAATTGAAGCCTTTTTCTCACTATACGTACTGTAATGATTAATTTTATATTTTTTAATGAGTTTCTTAAATTCTTCATTGTAAAACTCTTTTCCCAAATCGGTTTGGATGTTTCGTGGAACTTGTTCTTTAAAAACATTTTCCATTGCCTTGCAAACTTCCACAGCACTTTTATTTTTTAACGGATATGCCCACACATATTTGGAAAAACAATTTATAACTACCAAAATGTATTTGTAACCATTGTTTATGTTTGAGTATGGTATCATTTCCACCAAGTCTGCTTGTATTAGATCGTCAAAGGATTTAATGATGACTCTGCGTCTTTTGAAATTAATTCTAGCTGGTTTATGAAGTTCTTCAACCACATCCCTTTTAACGTCTGTAATAAATTTGGTGTTCTTCTTCTGCTGCTTTTTCATATTTATGCGATAACTTTAATTTCCCTCAGTTCTTCAATAATTGACGTAATTTCCTTGTCGTGTGCTGTGTGTCCTGCCTGCTGGGATGCAACCAATTCACGCAATCTCTCGACCAGTTCGTTTGGATCGTCAAAGTAAACGTAATCGATTTTGTTGTTGTTTGCTTTCAAAAATATACCCTCCCCTGCGACAAGTGGAGCTAACACCTTTTTATATTTTTCCAACCTACTTCCAGCAACTTGCTGATTGGACTTATAATATCGTCGGTGTGCGTTTGTTTTTAACACAATCTGTCTATATACTTTTTCATCTTCTGCCGTAAATCCTTTGGGGTTCTTTTTAAAGAGTAATTCGTACAGTCCGGAAGTTCCTTTGTATTTTTTATTTTGAACCACAAAATCTGAACCATCTATTATTATTTCAGAATTACCGATATAAAATTTTTCTTCTTGCGGGATAAATCGTACTCCATATTTATGATCAAATTGATTTTGCGTATCTTCATACATTTCCCTCACATATTTTCTTGGTAATGCTTCATCATATTGATCTAGATAATCAAGGAAAGCTTCTTTCTCAATTTCTTCTCTACGTGATTTAGTAAAAGCTCTTTCATCAACATAATTATCATCTTCATCTTCCTTGCTAATATCATCCAATATGGAACTTTTTATTGAGCTAATATCCCCTTCTTTTTCCTCTGGAAATGACGGCAACGTTAATGATAACTCCGCTCTTCTTTTACTAATTTTTGCAGGATTAACTGGAGTTGAGAATGCAAACGCTGTATGTTTTATGGTGTCAGGAGATTTAGGTTTTTCGTTTTTAACCTTATATTTTTCATGTGGCGGAGAAGGTGGTGGGGGAGGGGAGATTAGTGGCACTTGCTGTTTATTTGTTGCAGTTGTTTGTAGTTCACTTTGAATATTTTTCAATTGTTTTGTGATGGGAAAAAACATTTGTTCCTGAACATTTTCCCCTTCTTTAAGTAGTTTAAATTTCTGTTTAATATTTTTTCGTTTTTCAATCAATCTTTTTTTAAGATTTTTTGCTTGCAAATCCATTGTCACACACATGCACACGTGTTAAGAGCAAGAACAACAAAACATTAATGAGTCAAAGTGAAGAGTTTATTCAAGGTTTATATGATGATCAAATCCCATTCTGTAACGTCCACCGTTCATCTTATCATCTTTAAAAATGGTCAGAAATCCATATGGAAGTTTCCAACAGTACGAGCAGATATTTTTAAAATTTTCAAACGACATATCAGTTCCCACGTGATCGTTATAAACATGTTTTAAATTCAATTCATCCTGTTTAAATAGCAACAACACGTTGGCATTATCTCGTATTAAATGTTTGGGAATTTTGGCGTATGTTTGACATAGATAAAACGAGTCAATTTGATTGTGTCGACCCATACTGAAATATTCACGAATAACCTCCTGGTTATCGCAAGCAACATCATCAAAAATAAATATCGAGTTGGGCTTGGCTTCGGACGGATGAGCGATACTTTCACTAGCACTAAATGCGTAATAATTAATTCCCTTTATTGGTCGCAACAATTCAGCCAGATAGATGTATTTAGGTTGATAGAGCGAGCGTGAATAAATGTACACGTTTTCGAATTTTAATCCATTCTCGTGTTCGATGAGAGAAATCATTACGTTGGTTTTTCCACAGTTTGATGGACCAACAACAAGACATCTAATAGTGGATGGAAATAGTTTTCCATGTTTTACACGCTTTTGCTCTCCAAATTCTTTATTATCAGTGTTTTCCACGTTTAAACAAGTTTTTTGCTTAACAATTTTCATTTTCTTTGTTATTTGCACAAACACCATTGCTGTGTCAACATCAACTGAAGTATAAATACAAGTGTACAGTGTATTTTATGATAATTGGAGTGTAGCAAACACGTGTTGAACAAATATGAAATATTATATAGGATCTGGTTTATTAAATACTGCAATTAATAAACTACCCTTCGAGTTACATTTACCAGGTTACAATTATTGTGGTCCTGGGACAAAATTACAAGAACGATTAGCTCGTGGAGATAAAGGTGTTAATGGGTTGGATGAAAGTTGTCGAAAACATGACATTCAATACTCGTTAAACAAAGATTTAAAGTTGCGTCACGAAGCCGATAGAATATTAGCTGCAGAATCGATGGGACGATTCAGATCCAAAGACGCATCGATGGGTGAAAGACTTGCCTCTCTAGCTGTAGCAGGAGCTATGAAAACAAAATTAAAACTTGGTATGGGAATAAGTAAAAAAATGGACACAACGAAACTTGGAAAATGTGTGATTCAATTGACAAAAACGAAACGTTCGATTCAAAAGGTGTTGGTGGAAGTGGAAAAATGTATGGGTATGTTGTTATCAAAAAAGCAAACAATAAAAAACAGTAGTAGTAGCAGCAGCAGCAGCAGCAAAAGCAGTATTCAAGGTATGAATAAACGAATGAAAAAAGCAAAAACACCAGTTATTGATTTAAATGAACTAGAAGACAAGGAAAATATTCCAGAAATGCATCGAAGTCGTAATCGACAAAGGAAACATGAAAAAACATCCAAGACAACAAAACAACCACAACAAAAAAGAAAAGCACCGGATTTGGATGAACTGGAAAACAAACTAAATATTCCAGAAATGCATCGTAGTCGACAAAAGAGACGTGAAAAGTCAACAACAAAACGATTACAACGAAAAAGAAAATCAGAAAATGATGATGTAACCATTGTTAATGAAATTAAAAAACATAAGATCAATCTAAGTGAACCGTTAATTGATCATGCAACAACCATCTCTAAAAAACGTAGGTTGGGGGAAGACGAGGAGGAGGAGGAGAAGGAGAAGGAAAATGTTTTAAATAAAAAACAACGCATCTGCTAATCTAGTCTAGTGTTTGTCCTCGTTCTGTAAAGATGTCGTCGATAAAAAAAAGAAAGAACAAATGTGGTCAAAAACGTAAAAATAAAAAAAAGTCTATTGGATTTCAAACAGCTGTTGGAAAAATTAAAAAACAAATTTTACAAAGCAAGGCAAAAAATTTGGGAGATGCCATTCATGTGGCATTGAATGCAGCAAAACAGATTAAACATCAAATGAAACCCAGTAGTGGTCGAGTTATTAAAATTCCAAAGGTTGGCGGTTTTCTACCTCTTATACCCATATTTGCTGGGCTATCAGCATTGGGAAGTTTAGCAGGTGGTGCAGCAGGAATAGCCAAGGCTATTGGTGATGCTCGGTCGGCCAAAAAACAACTTGATGAATCAAATCGTCACAATCAAAAAATGGAGGCAATAGCAATGGGAAAAGGACTCTACCTAAAACCGTACAACAAGACAGGATTGGGTATTTTTTTACGACCGTATCAAAGCAATCAGGCCTACCGCTAAAACAGCGGCAGCAGCGACAGCAGCTTCCCAAACTTCCAGACAGACCGTTAACAAATATTGATTTAATATATTTTGCTAAATTACACAAGATTCCAAACTTTCGTGGTGTTTTTATGCGTGATGGATTACCAATAAAAATACATCGTCAGAACGAACGAGGTGTGATAAATTTGGATTCAACAAATGGTCCTGGAACTCATTGGACTGCGTATAAAAAAACTGGTGCAAACGTTGTGTACTTTGATAGTTTTGGAAATTTTCAACCTCCCTTGGAAGTTGTGAAATATTTTAAATCCAATGGTCGTGTAAACGTTGTATATAATTATGGTAGATATCAAAATTTTAATGCTGTTAATTGTGGTCATTTGTGTTTAAAATTTTTAATAGAATAATTTAAAAAAAAAGTTTTTTATTTAAGATTACCCTATCCAAAACCACCACACCACCCACCTAACCATTTTGCAAATTTATCATTTGTTAGTCAAGTTTAAACAGTGGTAGCTAGCACATGTGTGTGTGTGTGTGTGTATGTGTGTGTCATGAGTTACAATTTTACATTTTCGGGACGGGAATCCGTTTTACGATTAAAACTCTATCCACCAATAATACTAAACGAAGACGATCAATACGAATTGGGTTTGATTAATTTAGCCACCTACCATACAATCGCAAATGTCGATGAGACAAACAACCTATTTCATTTCGAAAAAAAGAATTTAAGATACCTGTAGGAACCTATGAAGTTGATGATCTAGCTGTTTACCTACATGAGCACGTTTCCAAGGAAATTCATAAATTTATTTTTCCTTCGAAAACACCAACGCAGACAACACCACCACCACCACAATCTACTCATCATTATTTGACAATGAAAGTTAATCGAAATACTATGAGATGCGAGATAAAGTCAACTGGAACTATATACTTTAACAAGGACCGTTCGATAGGTAGTCTCTTGGGATTTGAGAAAAAAGAATTAAAAAAAGATATAAAACACGAGTCTAAAAATCCAATCAACATAACCAAAGTTAATACTATATGTGTAGAATGCAACTTGACTGTTAATTCATACAACAACGATAAACTTTCACATATCCTTCATATGTTCTATCCAACAGTAGCACCAGGTTATAAAATCGTTGAATCCCCCTCCAACGTAATTTATCTTCCAATCAACACTCGTTATTTAGATGAGATTATTCTTAAAATAACCGACCAAGACGGTAATTTGGTTAATTTCAATGGTGAGATGATCACGGTACGAGTGCACTTAAAAAAAGTAAAATGGTGATCAAATATAACAACAATACCCTTCAACCCTTATCAACTTCATTTAGAATAAATACCAAAACGAGAAAAGGAGTGGTCAGTGTGCAAAAGAAGCCGAGAGTGTTGTCATCGGTGAACAGGAAATTTTTAAAATCATTGGGCTTTAAGTTGTTGCGTTAAAATTGCTGGAAAAATAAAAAAAATTTGGTGTTGGTGTCAATTCAGAATATTCAGAATATTTGTGTCCAGTGCTCATCGAAGAATATTACTACTACTGTGCACTTGTCGAGGATATAATAAAAATGAACATTTTAAACGTAGGAGACAGAGCTGTCACTGATAATTCAATTATCAGTAAAGAGTATCATAGTTACTTGCCTTATGCAAATTCAAGTTTGAACAAATCCGATGAGGTGCGAATCCCGATACAAACTCAAAACATTTACACCTACCCTGCTGAGAGCTTCCTCGAATTAGAAGGGGTCGTAGTCGATGAACAAAATAAGGCTAGTGGTACAATTCAACTAACCAATATGGCTTTGATGTTCCTATTCGATGAGATAAGATACGAAATGGCTGGAGTGGTGGTAGATCGAGTTCGAAACCCTGGTATAACGTCTCTTATGAAGGGTTACGTCAGTTTTACCGAGCAAGATTGTGTACGATATCAAAACGCAGGTTGGAATCATTTGGATCATGTGAAAATTGTACATAAAGCTGATGGATATTTCAATGCATGCATCCCGTTAAAAATCCTAATGGGAGTATTTGAGGACTTTCGCAAGGTTGTTGTAAATGTACGACAAGAGCTGACACTAATCAGAAGTTTTACCGATAACAATTCAGTACAGACAACAAAAGCAGGAGAAAAACCCCAAATACGTCTAAACAAAATTGTTTGGAAAGTTGAACATGTCAAAGTGGACGATGAGTCAAACTTACGGTTGTTATCGGTCATTGACAAGGGTAGAGACTTGACTCTTTCGTTTCGAGGATGGGAACTTCATGAATATCCACTTTTAAATCAAACAAAACAACACACATGGAACGTAAAGGCTGTAAATCAATTGGAAAAGCCTCGATACATTATATTTGGATTCCAAACAAATAGGAAAAATCTAACAGATAAGGATTGCAGCATGTTTGATCACTGTCACATAAAAAACTTCAAAGTCCATTTGAACTCCGAGGTTTATCCCTACGATAATTTTAACCTAAATATTAGCAAACAACAGTATGCCTTGCTGTACGAGATGTATGCACGATTTCAACAGTCCTATTATTACAAAGATGTGGGTGAGCCTTGTTTTACATTGGAGAAATTCATTGAAAGGGCTCCCTTAGTCGTCATTGATTGTTGTTACCAAGTGGATACCATAAAAAATGGAAGTGTCGACATTCGTTTGGAGTTTGAAACTGATACAGACACTCCTGCAACTACCAGTGCATACCTGTTGATTTTACACGATAAAAAAGTTAAATATAACCCACTTACCAGTACAGTAAAAATTTTATAATTGTAATATATATCCAAATAAAATAAAAACAAAAAAAATAAAGTAGTTTTATTTATAAATACATGTTAAAATTATATAATTGTAATATATATCCAAATAAAATAAAATATAAACAAAAAAAATAAAGTAGTTTTATTTACATAATAATAGAGTCACTCATATGGCATTCCACGAACGAATAGGCCGTGAAAATTATTTGGTATACGTAAATCTGTTGGTAGTATGCGAAAAAACAATACGTAAATGTATGCCAATTGACGAGAAGTTAAACACAAAAAAGAATAATTTAAGTAGAAATATTCAAAAGCACGTTGCTTGTCTTCCCAAGTTTCCCACGACCACTGATTAATATTTGTAGCACTCCAATTACTTAAAAGATACTCGAACTCATGATTTATAAGATGATTATCCACTCTAGCTCTAAAATCATAAACAGCTTGTTCAGAATGGTCACTCCACCGTAATTCAATTAAATAATCCGATGTGGTGCTGTCTGTATCACTATCGTCAGTGTCACTTTCTTCTAAAGTAATGTCTTCACTTTTTATTAACTCATTTACTTTATAGCGACACATAATTTGGTATACTACTGGTTCTGAAACAAAGTCATTGGAAGTTAACAAAAAAAAAACAAATTCCACAAATAATAAGCAAAGTACAAATAACAAGTTATGATATTAATAACAAAGTCTGTAGTTAATAACAAAGTCGTTGAAAGTCATATTTTATTATTTAAAAAATAATTCCACGAGTTCAAACAACAAGTGATGATTTATTGTTTAGTACAAAGTATTGCAAAGTTGTTGATTAATTATAATAACACAAATTATATCTAAAATATTCAATTATATAAAAAGTTGATTAATTATCGAGAATTATAGTAACATCGGAGTCTTCAGAATCAGGATCTGGTAAATTGTCTACTTTTAATTCTGAATGATAGATGTTCTTTAGGTGTGACGGCATGTTGGTTTTTGCAATTAAACGTTGTAGATCCTTCTTAACCATTGGCTTTGAAGGATCATGTGTAGCAACCTTTACTCGGGTTAGCTCATGGTAAAGAATTGATGATCTTCTTATGCAACTTGCCAAATTGTTGTCAATCGTATAGTTCTCATGGTTATTAACTTTAACCATTTTTGGAGTGATGTGTCTTATTGTTTTTGACGTTGCCTTAATATCTCGATAAAAAACCAACTCCCACTGGGCTTTTTGTTGTTGTTTAATCTAAAACAAATATAAAAAAAAAACGTGAAAACACGATTAAAAATAAAAAATAAAATAATACCTTTACTTTTTGTTTGATGTTTATAGAGAGAGAGAGATTGAGAGAGAGATGGATGGATGGAAGGGAGTTTTAAACAACAACAACAACAACAACAGTAACGACTACTTAAGTGTTTCAAAGGGAAACGACAGAAGTGTAATCCTTTAGTTCGTGAAACACACAAGGATTGTTACTGTCATAACTTCTCTCTTTAACTGTTTTTCTCTCACAATTTACACAATGGTAATGCATAAAACCATGTTTGTGTACCCTGATTAATTCCATTTGATATACATTTCGTAAACAAATAATTAGTTTATCAGGGGGAGTTGTCATGTCCTCATGACACACTTCACACAAAACAAAGTTATAAGTTTGATTCTCGACCTTGAGAACCAACATATAAAATACATTACAATTTATGGATTCCTTGACAACATAATTATCTAAATGAGCAAACGGACGTTTGCAGCATAGCAAGTGCGAATGCTGCAAAATGATGTAATCTTTTAAGTCATTACAAGTTTCCGATATTCCATCATTAGTCCGTTGCAACTCTCTCTCTTCATCATAGTTTGTAATATATGACAATAAATGCCATATTTGTCCTATAAGTGTTGTTCTGATTAAAAAATTATTTTTAAATTTGCAGTATTGGTTGTCAGCATCCAAGTCGTTGGCAAATGTCTCATTTGGATTTTGCATTCTAAAATCAATATATATATTTATATATATAAATTTTATAAATTTGTATATAAGTAAAAATTACCTTTACCTTTTTACCATAAAATAAGTAAACAACAAAGACAATGGAAGTATGTGTGTGTGTGTGTGTGTGTGTGTGTGTTTTAATTGCTGTACCCCCAGGGAACGGTATCAGTCTTTTTAAAATCAACAACTCTTTTATCGTCAAACGGATTAAGAGTAAGTTTTTTTTGCTGGATTGTAAAAATATCATGGTGTGACGATACGATGCAATTTTGTTCAACGTTTAAAGTTTTAAAATGAAATAGTGCATTCAAATAATCTTTAAAAGTAATGATCTTCAATGCTGATCTTTGAATTCCTTTAGCCTTTTTAACTATACCAAAGTTGGAAATAAAGCAATCAATATCTCTCGAGGAGTATTCTTGATTTTTTAATTTAGCCACTTGCCGTTGCATTTCCTCCTTACCTTTCCTTATTTTTAGCGAGTACATTTTTGAACGTAAACCAATAAATTCAGTCATTAGACTTCCGTTATTCTCATCCTTCATCAACCCTAAAACCTTTTTATTTTTTAAAGGTATTTGATAGACATTATCACAGGGGTAATCAGACGTGTCAAATTTATGAATGTCCTCCCGTATACATGAATAAATATCATCAACAAAAAATTGATAAATTAAACTATCGGTATCGGTATAAAGTAATTTTGAAGTATCACAAAATTTTTTCTTAATATAATTGTAGTGAAAATCGTAAAGAAAAGTTTTTGAAATGTCCAAAATTGACATACCCACATAAATGGGTTTGTTAAACTCAATTTTGAGTTTTTTCATCTCTACAATAATCATATTTTTATCGAAAATTCTACAACTGTGAAAATTTGGTTGCGAAATATAGTAGTTAGCACCAAATTTTCCCGACCATTTGGATACCAATTTTACATCTCTATACTTCTTTACATTTTCAATAGTTTTTCCAAACACACTGTTATTCATTAATTTATATAAATTTTTTAAAAATTCATTATCAGCCGCTTTTCTTAATTCAGTATTTAAATCTATATATTTTTTAAGCCAAGTGGATTGTTTAAATTTTAAACATCTATGAATTTTATCTATTTTTATACCCAACTGTAGGGCTTGTTTTAAATTTAAATAGTGAATTACATAATTATTTTTTCCATACAAGGTTGTTAATAATTTTGGTTTATCCAAGTCCTGTGAAATTGGTGGAACCAAATGTTCAGGACAAAGAGGAAAATCTTTGTGAAGCTCAAAAAGCTCGCGGGGGTATACAAGGTCAACTTCAAAAATAAACCCATATTCGCTTGTTTCAGAAATTTTAAATATATTCATATCATCAACATCAACATCTAACCAATTAAAATTCCCCACGGGGAGGGGAAAGCTCATTGCGGCCCCATAAAGGTTATTTACATCGTAATACATTAGATAAGATTGAGGTACATTAATATTATAATCGGATCCCATATATTTATTGTTTGCTTTGGCATATCGATTAGAACATTGTGAAACTCCACCCCTTATACCCTTTAAAATAAAATTAACCATATCCATGTCAACCAAAAGTTCCAAGCAAACATCAGTAACCAGAAGCATTGCATCAAACGCTAATGAAGGGGCGGTAATATAATGAAGAGCATCCAATTTATAGGTTTCAAAAGAAGACTTTCGAAAATTTTCAAATATATCTGCTAAAAGTAAAACATCAGTTTTCAAATACAATTCAGCATATTCTTGTAAATTTTTAATATTAAATTGATTCCAAACAGTGATAGCATGCTTATAATCATCACCTGAAATGTCTTCGTTTGAAATTTTACTGTAAAATTCTTCCTTCGACGGTAAACCATTGTCTTGCAATTTTTCCCAACTATTTAGGTATTCATAAGGAAACACCCCTTTTCTCGTAACCAGTTTAAACTGGTTATCGTTTGAATAAAACTTTTTGGTAATGGACTTTTGTGAATCCGTTAAATAAGATGCTAACTTACTAAGACTGCTGGCCATAAATCTAAACGAATCAACAAATCGCAAATTAACCTTGGTACCCTCAATATATTTCGTAAAAGAAATGTATCTTTCCATATTAAGTGGTAACAGATTAATTGCACCCTTTACCTTAGTACCAAGAGCTTTAATAATAAAATGAGAGTCGTATCCTGTCAAGTTGTGAAATATTACAGGAATTGCGTGAGATTTCTGATAACGCAAGTTACACCCATTGTGGGCTGCACCTCTAAACAACCCTGTAAAATGGTCATGGTCTCGTACCCGCAAGTCATTCTTGCTGGTAAAACGTTTTCCACAACAAATGCAATTGGTTGCATTAAAAAAATTTTCTCTTTCCTCTGCGGCAGTGGTAAAAGGTACTATTGGAACTGGATTCGATAGCAAACAGTCTACACGTTTAGCAATCTTTTCTAGTTCAAAAATAAACCACTCTACACAATCTTTACCAGTGTACATGTTAAATTTAGATAGGCTATCATCATAAAAACACTTTAAATAGTAGGCAATGCTAAATGCCTCGTGTTTTTGAATTTTTTTACTTTTACACCCAATACCCACCCTATCATCTTTATAATCTATCAAAATACTTTCAATGTCTGCATAAACAACATAGGGAACCATCAATTGATGTTTAAAATTTTTAAATTGCAAAAATTTATCCTCAGGGAGAACAACTTTTGTATCAGTCGATAACAATTTGCAATCACTCCAATGTTTTTTTAATATAACTTCAGTTTTAAAATGGTTAAGGCATCGTTCACAATACCATTTTCCATTTTTAATATTACCTACTTGAGTGTTAAGTAGTCTAGATAAATTTTTTATATGTGCAAAATGATAATAAACTGTTTCAATACTACTACTACTACCAGCAACGATAGAATCACTTGTTGTTGTTATTGTGTTTGTAATTAAAAGTAAATTTATTCTAGGTGAAAAATCAAATTTACTAAGGCATAATGGTAAAATTTCCTTTACTTCACCCCCACTCC